ACTAAATTCTATTGAAGCATTTTTCCAAGGAGAAAAAAACTACTCTGGAAAATATGCTCAGTTTTACTTTCTTGGGAAACTGAATGGGTAAGCAGTTTAAACTTTTACCTTAAATAGGATAATACACATGGAACTTGAGCAAAGGTAAGCAGAAAAAGACAAACAGAAATATAATCTTTTACTCCAACAGTCTAAAATGAAAAAGAACAGGAAAACTCTAGGAAAACAATTACTGCGTGGGATTTTAGCACAGTCCATCTCAAAGCAGTTTCAGAACTAGAGGAACACAATTAAATGTACCCCATAACCTTTACTTTCATGGTAATAGTACGGTTGCTGACTTTCATTACATTTAAATGTCCTTTAAAAAAATGAAACAAAATGTACCACTGACCTTTTCAAAAGGTCAAGTAACAATAATTCACTATTTCATTAAGGCACTAAAAGGTATTATATAGTAACTTTAACCTAGCTTTGTATATATCACACACATCGGTGTAAGAGCAATCTGGAATTTAAAGTTTACATGAAAGATAGTAAAACTATCCCCCTGCAGAAGAGTGTACTGTTATCTGAAAGAATAAGACTCCAAAGTCCATTATTTGCAAAATTTAGCCATTTTAAAAGGTCAAGTATATGTCATATGCCACAATCTTTCTCTGATTCAAGAAAATGCCCCAAGCTAGTTTTCTGTAGTTAAAGTATATACAAACTATTAATAGTTCTCAATAATCGCAGATTTTTAAGGTTGTAGGAAACAGACATACCAAGAGTTGCCTCCCTTCTCTCTCCAGTCTCCAAAAGGCTTATCTTGACAAACCTTTCCAGTAAATAAGACATCAACAACAAGTCTTCAGCCAGCCAAGAGGACAAAGAACACTTCAAATTCCAAATTACCGTGGATGAGGAAAGATTAATAAGACACTTTCCGGTATAATCTGGTCTTAGATTCCCACAGAAAGCAGTTTTATAGAGCTCTTGAATTAAAAAGCAAAGAAAGATGCCTGTGAGAAAGGTGTTGAACTAGGTGCAAAAATAATAATGAAGAATCCTGGCAGATCAGAACATGGGCAACAGGAGGAGTGAGCACAGGGGGCAGGCCGGGAAAGGGACTGCTTTAGGGCAGCAGATGGCCACAAGGAAGCTAAGACACCCCTTGGCAATGAGGTCTTGGGGGGGAGGGGAGTAAGATAAGTTAGGATCTTACACTAAAAGAGAAAAACAAAGGCCAAAAATTGCAACAGACGTAATATGTGCATGAAGAAATTAGCTTCGTGAACTCGGGAAATTTTTAATTTTTCAAAGGTAAAATAATATTAGATATAGAACATTAAATTAACCACTATCAAAGGAGAAGCAGAGTTAAATAAAACATTGGAAAGATGAAAACAAGAACATCGCTAAATGGGAAATAAGAATAAAATGAGAGCGGGTCATAGCAGAGCCGTGGAAACAGAACACAGGCAGAGGAAGTCCAGCACACATATAAACAGAACCCCCCCCCCCAAGGAACCGAAAAGCTACAAAGTAAATGTTTTAAGAACAAACAGACATACTAAAAGGCACAACGGTACACGAGAAAATTTGCTCGTGATGACATTGTCAAAAGCACATTTAATACACAGACTGAAATAGAAGAGAGTCCAGACCCTCGAGGAAACAAGTTCGAGAACTTTTATGAGCAACGGAATGAGACAGACACCAAGTGTCTCACACAGCATGAAGAACAAAGCAATAATGGAATATAATTATTTTTAAATTAAATCTGCATGTCCTCCCAGTAACTTCACGGCCTCCATTATGTATGCAAACTGCCGTCTGGTCTGTTCCCTCCCCCTAGTTAAATGGATCTACCCTCTAGCCAATGGCGTCCTGTTCCTTCCCTGGTGGCCATCAGAGAAAGCTTCCTTTAGTGCCAAAACCTTTTCCCTGACATTTCACAACGGTAGGTAGTCTCACACAGTGTTGATTCTTTTGTGTGGCATAGAATTTTTAAGAGCTGAAGGGAACACCCACTCCTGGCTATCATCGAGTAACAGAGACAGGATATATTCTCTTGGCTTAAACAGCTAAAACAAAGTGGCATAATGTGTGAAATAATGACTTTCAGACATGGAGCCAGAGGCGACACATGACAGTCATCATTAAAACAAGGAAATAAATGGAAAAAACTCTGTATTTGTCCTGCTTCGCTGTGTGAAGAGTACCTAAGAATGGACATAAATTGGAACACAACTAGCACCTCGCATTCTCCCTCAGTTGATGAGATAGAGGACACAATATGTCAAAGTCAATGCCAGAGTTCCAGAGAACATCAGAGGCCCCTCACGGAGACTCTCCAGCACTTGACGTTCGGCTCTGAAGAACTGAAGGAAGTCAGACCCTCGGGGAACTCAACCTGGATGTGGGTACAGTTCAAGTTCTGAGCAGCTGACACGGAAACTTTAAATACGCTGATCTTGTTAGGTGTCGTGGAGTTGGTCTGACTCGTGGGAACTGTGGCGAAGGCATGAGGGTCAAACCCTAGCTCCTCCAGCTACACATGGGGAAGGCGAATCCACTGCACAGCAGCCCAGGTATGATTTCCCTGAGGCAGACGTACCTCCACCCTTCGTTACCCTATTCTGACACCACCAGTCCCTCTCGGAGCACTCCACTTCTCTGCCCATCTTCACAATCCATTGCCATGGCCACCCAAACCCACGTACAATATCCACAACTACGAGGTCGACCGAGGAGTTAGCAGGTCACCTGAGGTCTGGATCGGAGGGTATTATAAGGTCACAGTCCTTTTGTCCATAGCAGCACCTCTCCAACGTCACACCACATTCTTCTGCATATGATCCAACTTCTCTGAGGATTTGCTCAGCACACAGGCTGAGTCAGTATGGAGAGAGGTTACACACCTTTCGTGATTTTAAACCATGTAGTGTTCTCTTGTTCCGTTTGCACAACGACCTCTTGATCCATGTACAAGTTCCGCATGAGCACAATGAAGCATTCTGGGATTCCCATTCTTCTCAAACTCTACTGTTGTTTCTTATGGTCCACACAGCTGAATGCTCCAGCACAGTCAATACATCCTTCTGGCATTCTCTGCTTTCAGCCCATGCCGGTGACAGAACTTCCGGCATCACGGCAGCACACAAGTCACCAAAGTATGGCAAACCCACAGACAAATGGTGGGAAGGGGGCTCTTCTACTTATTGAATCAGATCACACCCCGGAGGATCATTACACAACTGCAAGACCGAAGAACCTTAGCCCAGCCACATGGGCGCCTACTTGGGGATACCCAATTCAATCCACGACAGCCGAGTGCTCCACTGTCCGTGCCCCTCAGGGACTCCAAGGGCAGCTTGGACCCCACAAAAGAAGACATTAGCGTGCCTGGACCACAGCAGCAGAACACGGTCAAACTAAAACACAGAGAGCAGAAACTACTGAAAGGATTTAAAGTCTCCAAGCTGGAAGGGAGAGAGAGAGGAACAAATAAATTTTAAGAAAGAACAGCTAAATGATTCTTCAAATTTAATGAAAATGCAAACTCCAACAATTCCCGCAAATGCGATGCAGGAGAAACACCAGAGGACACCAAGGCACATTATAATCGAACTGACGAAAGCCAGTGATAACAAAGAAAAGCATTACAAGCAGCCAGAGGAAAAAATACGCGTTTAGAGAAACAAAGATAAGACTCGTCAGAGATCTCTCAAAATAGTAATAATGATGCGAGACAGTGAAATAACAACTTTAGTGAGAAGAAATGTCAACCAGAATTCTATAACCAACAAAATTATCTTTCAAAAGGCCAAATACTTTTTCAGACTTAAGACAGAAAACAATCTGTTAGGAGTAGACCCACATTAGGAGAAATGTGAAAGAAAGATAATCTTTAGGAAAAAAATGAAAAGAGAGATAAATCTAAGAATAAAATAAAGAGCATTAGAACAGTGCGCATATCAGTAGAGATGAAACACATTTCGTAAAATGTATTAAACGCCTTTTAAAATATTGTGTCGAGGGAAGGAAGGGGGAACCAATCACAATGATCGACACATAATCCCCACCCCCCCAGGGGAATTCACAACAGAAATTGGGTGAAGGGAGACAGTGGTCGGTATAAGATATGAAAGCAATATTAATTTATAATTTATCAAGGGGTCACGAGGGTGGGGGTGGAAGGGAGGGAAAAAAGAGCTGGTACCAAGGGCTCAAATAGAAAGTCAATGTTTAGAAAATGATGGCGCCAACATATGTACAAAGATACTTGATATAATTGATGTATGGAATGTTAGAGCTGCAAGAGCCCCAAATAAAATGATAAAAAAGATTATTATGTCAAAGTTTTGGCATAATCTGAGCAACAAATAAAGTAGTATATTATTATAGTCCAAAATATAAATATCAATTAATCCATGCAGCTAAAAAATTACTCAATGGAGAAGAGACAACTCTCCCGTGCAGAATTCCATCAAGATTCCACCTGAGAAAAGGGGGAACATAATTCCCTGCTCCTAAGTGTGGTCTCCACAGAGTGATCCTGTGCAAGAAGTCCAGTGTGGAACAGAGAGGTGGGGTGGGGGGCTGGTAGCATCACGGTGGAGAGAGCTGAAAAACTCAACCTGAGCCAGGTAAACAAGGGCAACAGCAGCAGTCACAAGTCACACTGGTGATCCGTGCCCTTGATATGGGATGGGATGGCATGTTACATCTGTACTCTTCCTCCCATAAACCTAATTCCAGTCAAACCATGATAAAAAACACCCCAAATCCCAGGAAGATGTGAACCTCCAACATCCCTAACCAGCACTCCTCAATTAAAGAGAATCATTTTATAATCACAAAGGAGTCAAGACCGTCATGATAAACAGGGAGCGTCCCAGAAGCTGTTCCAGCCCAGGCGACCCTAAGAAGACACGAGCTGTCCTGGATGGGGTTCTTGAACATAACAGTGTTCTTTGTTCATTAAAAAGTATCCATATTGGTTCATTAAAAATGTATCCTACTGCTATTGCATAGTCTAACCCCCAAATAAGTGCTGAAAAACATCTCTCTGCTTTATCCTGTTTGAACACAGAGGTCCTTCTTTTGTGCTGTGAATGAAGTCTTATCAGTTTACAAAGATGCTTAGTCTAATCACATGTGAGTTACAGAAAGTCATTCAGATTGGACCCACCCAGGAAAATGAATCATAAAAAGGAAGAACTCGCTACATTTATGTAAAAGGAAGAAAAACAGGGGGAAAAAATCTAAGAAACACATGGGATCGATACATATCAAATAGGAAGTCAGTAGATTTAAACCTTAACAAATCAATTATTATATTAAATCCAAATTGTCTGAACACTCCAGCAAAAGGCAGAGATTATAAGATTGGGGAAAGAGCACAACTCATTAAAACCCCTTTAAATATAAATATACACATAAATGTTTCTTTAAAATATAAATACTTTAAATAGATTTAAAATAAAGAATACCAAAGAGATAAGCCATATGAACACTAATCAAAAGGAAGCTGAAGTCTTTGGGATTTTATTATTAAAATCCAAACATAGATTTCAGAGTAAAGTTTGTAATCAGGGATAACAAGGCTCATTCATAATTGTAATCTTGACAGATTTTGTCAAGGGACACAAGATGCTCAAAAGGACTACTTAGGAATATGTTTTCAAAATCAGAAAAGGCCAAGAAAATTATCCCAAGGAATTTTTTTTCTACGACGCACCTGCTTCTTCATTCTTCGAAGGTAACAATGGCTGTCATCTAAGAAATGGGAAAGTTTATCCCAACCACCCTCCAGCCCCTACTGCCCTTCAGACTTCTTGTTCCCAAATCAAACAACAACGAAAAAGGGCACGTTGTTGAGGCCTTCACAGATGCCCGCACTGCCATTTTAACATGGTATAAATAGAAAGAGTTCCTCAAAATAAGTTCCAAGAAAACCCCTTTAAACATCACACACACGGGCCGAGATAGGAGGATATGTTGAGAAGCGACCACTCTTACTTTGATGGTTCTGTTTAATAAACCTTTCTATTCTTTTGTAGCAATACTTTCTGACTTACCTTCAGCTGTACTGTATGCACCATTACACACCTGGCAGAGAAATCCCTGCACACTCAAGAAACAAGGTACACAGCTGCTCAAGATTCCCGAATTCTAACATAACCTGATAGGTCCACAGGCACAGACGTGGGTAGATGTGCCCAGAATGGACATTAGGCGGCACCTGACTCTTATCAAGAAGAAAGGTCTCCCATCAATGATCACTCCTCTAGCTGAAGAAACTAGGGAAGAAAATGCAAATCAAACTGAAAGTCAAGGAAACAATAAAGATAAGCAATCAATGAAATGGAAAGCAGAAAAGTACTTTTAAAAAATAAATGAAACCAAAACCTATTGCTAGAAATGATAAAAGTCCATCCATGTACATAAGGGGAAAAAAGAGAGAAAACATAGATTACCAATATCAGGAAAGAGGGCAGAGGTGTTAAAAAAGTATTTGATATTTGAGATGCTTAATCCTCCTCCTTTTGAATATGGATTGGATTTAGAGGTTTGTTTGTTCTTTTTAAGCAGATGTATTGATGGTTGAGTTCAGAGAGTAGGCGATACAAATTACTACAAGTCTCTCTCTCGCTGATCATTCACTCTTGGGATGCTAGCTACCATGCTGAGATGACACTCAGGGAGCTCTACAGAGAGTTCCACGTGGTGAGAAACGGAGGCCCTCCAGCCAGTGACCATGTGACTGAGCCCTCCTGGAAAGGAATCCTCTAGAGTCTATGCAAGGGCATGGGTGACTCTTTCGCCTCTGGCAAAGGTGGAGTTGGTCCGCCTACTCAATCCCTGATGCACAGAACTGGAAGACAGCAGACGAGGGAGGGATTCCTTGTATAGGAAGTATATAGGTAGTGTCACCTACAGTTCCCACAGACATGAAAAGATACCCTAACTCTACTACAGGCGTGGCAGGACCAGCCCACAGGGTCTCCAGCCTGCCTTCAAAACGTGCACGGAAAACAGAATAAAGGACAGGGGAATTTCCCCCTTCCTACAGCCTGCGCTGTCAGGCCGCTCACCACAAACTCCGTGATGCAAAACCAGCAGCTGCTCTGCAGGAGCAAGATGGGCTCCCCAGAGCCTGGGAAACCCACAGGAGCAGTTCTACCCTGTCCTACAGGGTGGCTCTGAATCAGAACGGACTCGAGACCAGTGCGCTTGGATTTTCTGGTTTCATGTATATTATTTAGAAAAGTGTAAAAGTAAAAATTAGTACCAACAACAACAAAGCAGGACCTTTCCACCAGAAAAATGTGAAGCCCTTCTCAAAATAAAAGAAAGCTCAAACTCCCGGCCGTCCGGTCAGTTCTGACGCACTGCGACTCGACTGGGTGGAGTAGTACAGCGTAGCGGGCCTCTGTGGGGTTCCCAGGCTTTACATGTGATCACAGGAGCTTCCAGGAAGCCTCTTCCTGCAGAGCGGCTGGTGGTTTCGAACTGCTAACCTTGTGTTTAACAGCCCGACATAACCCACTATGCCACCAAGGCTCCTCTTAAGCCCTTCCAATAAGTATCTTCTGGGTGTCAAGCAAATTACAAATTCAAATCACATTACTTCTAGAAAAATGATAACAAATAACATGTCAGCAACTACTGGGTAATTTTTAAAAGCAGTGATAAAGGAAACTTCACAGCCTTCAATAAATTTTAAATGTTACTCCCACTGGACAGATAGGGAAATCTGAGTATCAAAATATATAAAAGAAATAATGGGTTATAATCCATTAAATATGTTTTTAAATTCATGAGTCTATTTTGCAATTAGTAAATGAAAAAGGGAAATTATTCCTCATAATAGACCAATTAATCAATATAAAAGGAATGTTAGCATAGGTAACTGATCATCACATTAATTGTTAACTCCAGGAAAGTAAACAAATGCTAAAACTCAGGAGTAGGGATAAAAGTTTGATGTCTCAGAGTACTTCCTGAAAAGTAATTATCAATTAATTACAAAGAAAAACTGGCAGATTCCTCCTTAATCAAGCGAGACTCAACAATCTTCCTGTGATATCTTGCCAAAAATGCATAACCAGGGTTTAATGATGAGACATCAATCAAACCCAAACTGGAGGGAACTTACTCAATGCCATCAAGTTGCTTTCCACTCACAGCTACCCGACAGAACAGAAAATAAGATTGTCCCTTTGGGTTTCTGAGACTAAGTTTTCAGGGGAGTAGAAAGCCTCATTGTTCTCTGCAGCGGACCACTGGTGGGTTTGAACTAGGGACCTTTCAGTTAGAAGCCCAACACACAACTTGCCTACCCTAGCAGGGCACCTCCTTTGAAGGACCTAATAATTTATTCTACCTATTCACTAGCCTGTACTCTTGAAAGACGTCAAGTTTGACAAAGACAAAGGCAGCCTAAGGAACTCCTCCAGGTGGAAGATGAAAGAGACATGGTAATCCGGGCCCTTGCCTCATACAGGAGAAGCTGTAAAGGAGTAAGTTTAACCATCAACAAAATTTGGATCTGAATGGTACCATGTCATTGCTAAATTTCCTAATTTTTATCATTGTATGATAGCAAAATAAGACTCTTCTTTTTTTATTCACTGTTCAGGGATAGAGTGTATATTTAGAAGTCATAATCTCAAAGTCTATCAGGAAAAAAGATTATATGCTGTGTTAGTCTAGGCTGACTGGAGAAACAAGTCCAGAGACACCCGTATGTCAGACATTCATATGAGCTTCATATAAAAGAGCAACTGTATATTGAGAAATATCCCAACGCAATCCAGATCAAATACTAAGTCCTATATTAGCCCATATGTCTGATACTAGTCCTTAATTTCCTCTTCAGACTCACAGAGCCATGCAATGATGCTGAATGCAGGAAGATTACAGGCCAATGGGTAGAAGGTCTTGTGGATCCAGAGACAGTGGGAGCATCTCAGTGCTGGCAGGGGACTCCATGTCTCCTCCAGCTCCAGAGCTCTGGCTCCATCAGCACAGCTCCATGTGGCTTGTCGACAGGAATGTAAAGCCAAGAGAGTATGGGTCTGGTCTGGCCTCCAGTGAGCTATTTATCTCTGTACTACCTCCAAATGAGGTCATCAAGCTGCAACCTGATTGACAGGCTAAACTCCACCCATTTACTCTTAGTAGTCTCAAGTGGACACAAGATGATGTAACTACCACATATGCCCACCCACAAAAAAACATGCTTGAAATGATAAGGGGGATACAATATACACTAGTGAACACAAGTAAAGAGTTCATTTTAACTCTTCACACTCTTGTAACTTTTTAGAAATTTGAAGTGCTATATAAAATATTTAAAGTCAGCTCCATCAAACAGTAATGTTAAATTGAAGGTCTGCCATTTAAACAAGTCATTTAAGATATGTAAATTATAACTGTAGCTACATCAAGAGTCAGAGAAAATCCCATCTCAGTTTTGATGGCTACACATTTTATAAATTGAGCAGTTTAGAAAAAAAAAAGACACATATGAGACAAGACACTTGTTCTAAAGAGCCTAAAATTATGTACAATCTGACTCGAAAAAAATGTAACTTCGTCAGACCTTTCCAACTTTCCTTAAAAAGTGAGTGCTGTCTTCAATGGGGCGATTCAAGAACAATACCCTCATTCCTCTTACTTGATCACTACCTCATTATCCAGCATTTTGCATTTGCGACAATTTTGACAAATTCTCAGCTGGAAGCTCCAATGTGGGGCCACAGGCAAGCTCAGGGTGCGCTCTAAGTGCCAGCCAAATGGGGCCACAGGATGGACGGCAGCTGGCTCTCACCCCAATTCATCCACATGGCTCCAGCCGTGGGGGGTCAGGGAGAGGGTGGACTGGCAGATGAGGATGAGGATGCTAAGGAGACAGAGGCCAATGTTGGAAGGCAGGAACAAAAGATAAGGGACGTGGACCTGGCAAGACTAGGGCAGAAAAATGGCCAGGGGGAGTCCCTTGTAGGGAGGCAGTCGACAACACTCAACTACCACCCCTCTTCCATCTCCAAACCCTACAGGCCCCTTGGCGATGGATACGGGGATTGCCCATGAGTACCCTGAGATGCAAGGGAGGTTCCTCCGGGTGGTTAGCAACAGGAGGGAGGGGGGTACAACAACACAGAGGAAAAGGCATGGCCTCCTACTCCCATATGGATGCTGATTTCCCATAACATCCTAGTCTTTGGAAACGAATCATGTCAGTAAGTGAGGAGTGGGTATTTCCATTCAAAACTCAATTAGGAAACTTAATGGAAATGGGCTGGCTTTACATTTAACATTTTAAAAACTCTATGAACTAGAAAACAAAGGGAAGTGGCCAAGTGCACTACAAGATGTTCAAGTCAGATGCTCTTTAGGGCCAAGGACGGTGAGATTTCCTCTCACAAATTTGGGACATGGTATCAGCAAGGCTCAGTCCCTAGATAATGACATCCTATCGATAAACTAGGAGGTCTGGAAACAGGAAGATCCAGGAGATGGACTGATGCAATGGCTGCACTCATGGAGCAAACTTAACAATTGTGAGCACGGCACCGAACCAGGGAGTGCTTCCTTCTGCTGCATGAAGGATCCCTACGAGTCCGAGCTGACTCAGTGGCCCCTACCTACAATCACAGGGGATTCTCATTAATTCCTCACCTTCTACTAGTCTTTACCTTTGAGTGATTATAAATCATGGTTACCCCAGGTGTTAGAGTAGAAATGTTCTAAACGTTTCTTGACTATAAACTCTATGAAACACAATTAAGTCTCTCAGGCTGTCATACTGTGGTGCTTGAGAGTTGCCATGGTGCTGGAAGCCACGCCACTGGTGTTTCAAAGACCAACAGGGTCACCCACAATGAACAGCTTCCAGTGGAAATTCCAAACTATGAGCAGACTAGGAACAAGAAGTAGGTTGTCCATGTCCATTTGTAAAGGATTAGACACCAAAATCCTGAGAAACTGCAGCAGAACACTGTCAGAGATAATGTCTGAAGCTAAGTCCCTCAGAGCTGTTGCCAAAGCAAACTTTGAAGCCATAGATATAAGTAACGCTTTCACGACCTTCATTTGCTAATGGGGCACAACTCAAAATGAGAAGAAACAGCTGCAAATATCCATTAATAATTGGAGCAGGGAATGCACGAAGTATGAATCTGGAAAAATTGGAAGTTGTCAAAATGAAACAAAACACATAAAGAAAAGGATTGGTCATGAACATGAGTCAGATAATCATAAGTTGACTATGCCAAGGAAGATAAATTCAAGAATAGCTTTGTACTCATTATCAAAAAGAATATTTCAAGATCTAGCTTTAAGTACAACGCTGTGTTGATATGATAAAACTTATTCACCCACAAGGAAGTCCAGTTACTACAACTATTACTCAAACGTTGCACTGACCACTGTTATTGATGAAGACAGATACTTCCATGGTTGAATGGCTCCAGCTGGAACTTCCCACTACTCGAATGGGAACGTTCAACAAGAATCTGCTCACTGTTCCTAACTTTGCTCGATAGTCGAGGCAAGACTATGACTTGAAAAGTCCTGTATGGCTGAGAATGAGTCACAGGTCGAGCCTCACATTGGTCACAAAGGGGTGATGCTTCAGTCTAAGTAACTGATCCTGCTCAGACAACATATGGTGCCTGTGCTAGTGCATTCCAACACTCATCGTGTGTGTGCGCGCGCACTTCATTTGGGTAAAATATCAAACCCTGGCTCCAAAGGAAGTTGGTGACGCCAGGAGTAAAGCTAAGAGGAAAATCCTAAGAGATAAGATACAAAAAGAAATCATTGGGAAATGTGAATCAGATGGCTGCTTTTCTGATTCGGCGGCTGCATACAACATTGGCTAACGTCGACATTGTCAACATTAAAAAAAAAAAAATGTGCTAAAGCAGCCAATGGAGCAAAAGGTGTAAAATGGTTAAGCATGAAACAAAAGCCCAGACCACCAAAGAGGTTGAAGTTACTGTGAATTTGGATAAATCAGAAACAACCCTATGGCTGTAGCCTATCTGAGACAGTGATTCTCAAGGTCTGAAGCTTCCCCATTGATTTAAAGTCATGGGAAAAATGAACTTATACGTGTAATGTGGGGGCCTCAGAACTAATTATTTGGTTTTCCATTATTCCTGATGGGAAAAATATGTTCAGTTGTTGGAACTTTTCAGTGTTAGAACATGAATTTGAGACTAACTGAGTTCAACAGCCAAGGTATCACTTTCATTCGGTTGCAGGAGTACACTGATAAGGACCTGCCAGAAATTCAGGTGGGACGCAGGTGGACACGGCAAGACGGTTATCTCTGAAGACATCAGATGGACCTTGGTTAAAAGCAGAGAATACCAGAAAGCTATTTACTTGGGTTTTACTGACTATGCAAAAGCATTCAATTGTGTGGGTCATAAATGGATAACCCAGCAAACAATGGAAATTACAAAGCACTTCATGGTGCTCATGCAGAACCAAGACCTCAACCAAGAAAGAGTCAGTCCTAACCAAGTAAGGGGATACTAACTTCATGGCTTAAAATCAAGAAAAGCAAACAGTTCAAGAAGTCACACTACATGAAGAACTCAGCATCCCCACTGGAGAGAAGCTCATTAAGAATCTGAGATATATCCAGGGCAACACCTTGCTTGCTGAAATTGAACACCTTGCTTGCTGATGAAAAGCAAAACCTTTCTAAAACTGATTCATTTTGATGATGATTTCCAACACTTTTTAATAGGTTTAAACCACTGGATTGTATACGTGAATTGTATGTCAAAAAGACTTAAAACTAAAGAAGAAGAAAAACCTCTGCAGCCTTCAGAATGGATTGCAACTCAATTAGAAAAAAATCTTCACAACTGGACCAACAGGCAGCATCCTAGTAAAGTTTAAAGTTGTCAAGGATTTCAGTTTACTTGGATCGAGAATCAAGGTTCCATATTGCAGCTGTCCAATCAAATGAGGTATGACACCGGGCAAATCAGCAAAGCAAGACCTATTTAAAGTGTTAAAGATCAAAGATGTGACCGTAAGGGCCAGGAGTTTATGGCATACTGATGCGGTCTTAGGAGCCCTGGTGGCGCTGGGATCAGGTGTTGGGCTGCGCTCCTGAAGGTCTCTGCAGGAGAAAGAGAAACCACAGGGGCAGGTCCACCCCGTCCTAGAAAATGGCTAAGGAGTGGCCATGGATTGGATGGCAGTCGTTCAGCATTTGGTTTGGAGTGTGATCTTGCACAAGTCACTGCGTCTGCGCTCTCCTATGCTTTGATCTCCTTAACTACCGTATAGCAACGGGGATAACGAATTTGGAAAGTAGTTGCTTCAAAGGGCAGAGGATGCAATGAGACGCTACATGTGAACAGCACTCTGTAAAGTTCAGACCCTACAGGTGCGTCACCAGGTGAAAAGAATGCACGAGAAGCCACTTGGCAAATGGAGCCAATCAGCCAAGGGTATCATTCCCGTTGGGGCCATTTCCCGCAAAGCATCGGAGCTCAGCTACACCCAGTCAAGATGTTCTTTCCGGAGGATATGCGAGGATACTGCACACAGATGCCCCTGTGAACTGACGCCAACCCTGGAGGGGGCAGGGGTTGTTTGAAGTAAGTCAAAGTTGCCCCCATAAAATAGTTAACGGGGGGAAGGCAGCCGCTGAACTAGCAGAGGCCTCGGAGAAGGGGAGGTGCTTAGGGGGCGTGGTTTTTGCATAAGCCCCGCCCACCGGCGTGCCCGGAAGCCCCGCCCGTGCACCTCACGCGGGCAGCCACCTGAGAGGCGAGCAGGGGGCGGGGACAGGTGGGATTTCCAGCGCGTCGGAAACGTTCGCGCTCCGACGGGCAGCGGCGTGCTGTCCCGCGCAAAGGCCCAGGGCCAGCCCCGAGCCCCTGCCGTGCCAGGCGGCGTCGCAGCGCGTGAAGGAGGCTCCTGTGGAGGAAGAGCGCAGGCTGAAGAGTACCTGAGCTGAAATGAACCCTTCATAGACGGTTTTCTGTAGGTTCTGGGGCAGGAGCAACGGGAACTCGCGCAGCAGGCTCGTTTCCATGATCGCCCGCGGAGGCCGGCGCGCGGACTGAGCGGGCGCCGCGCGTGCGCATGCGCAGCCCCGCCGCTGCTCGGCGGAAACGCGCGCCTTGGCGGGAAAAGGGCTCCCGGTCCCGCGAGCGGAAGTCCCGGGCCGGTGGGACGGGCCGCGCTCCTGCAGAGCCAGGTGCGCCTCCGCAGGCCACAGCTCGGCCCCCCAAACCGCAGCTCTGAGGAAAATGTCTCCAAGTTTGCCACGGTGACCCAACACGATGGCTCCCCCCGCCGCCGGGGCCCAGGGCCACTTTGGAAAGTTTTGCTCAACTCTCTTGAAAAGCTGCTACGCCTTTGGGGTTGCATTTCTTCCACTGTAAGTCTTGGTGGTTGTAGCATATCTACCATCCCCAGGGCCCGTCACCACCTCTCCCATTATAAGCTCCCCCCCACCCCCTTGCCCATTCTCCTGGAAACTCACAGGGGCAGTTCTACATAGCCCTATTTGGGTCGCTATGAGTCAGTATTGATGGCAACGAGTTATTGCGTTATCTATGCCAGACTGAACTCTGATCGACAGTTGCTGATGGATTTGATGAACCTTTGCTAACTTATGGTAATCATCCCCCCTTCCCAATTAGGAGCGATTTACTAGGGAACTTATTCATTTTCTACTTGTTATTTGCTACTCCAATCAGTGCATCAAACCTTTGGAGTCTTATTGTTTGGAAAACATTGCCATAGGCCAGAATCTGCACAGCAGTACATGTCATGCCCCTTCCCATCTGTACTGGCCTCTAAATGTTCTAAAGCCAAGATTCTCAAAAATACCTAAAGATCAAAAAGTGTCACAGTGTTCAAAGGACAAGAGCGCTGCAGCAACGCTTCTCAGAATGCATCCAGAACAGGTGGGCCACGCAGGTAGGAACTTCATAGATAGGGGTGTCAACACTAGTCCCAAGGCCGCCCACTGCTGTCCAGCCCTTCCAACTCATGCTGTTGTTATTAGATTCCAATTCCTAGTGCCCCTGTGTACAACCGAAGGACACACTTGCCCTGTGCCATCCTCACAAGTGTTTTCATGTTGTGAGCCCATTGTTGCAGCCACTGTGTCAATCCCTCTTGTGGAAGGCCTTCCTCTTATTTGATGCCCCTCTACTTCACTAACTTTCAGAGCAACTTTCCCAACCCTTAGCAACCCTATGTACTACATAGTATATAGGGTCTCTGAGGCTGTAAATCTCTGAGTTCAGACAGCCTCATCTTTCTTCCTGGGGCAACTAGTGCCAATCTGGTAGTCAACAGCCTTAACACCTAACCCACAACACCACACTGTGTTTTAACAAGCAGGGGTATGAATCAGTTCTATGGGGTAGTCAGGGGTGTGTGAGCCCCCTTGGTCTTTGAATAGCCAAACCCTAAGAAAAGTAAGTGTGGCGGCCCAAAGGTCACACTGACCTTTTCAACAGTAGCAGAATGATAGTTCTCGCTCAAAGATCCACAGCAACCTGAAAAGAGAATTGCATCAATGCCATGTCTGTATTTCCTTTAACACTAGTTTTCAACTCTTAGGAGACATTTGACAAAGTTAATTTCTCACTCATGCTACATTCCAACACAGGATGAGGTGTTCATCAGAGTCACACAGGAACCCAGGCTGAGGAAAACTGTCCCAACACAGTGTTTGCAGAAACACTGCAGTAGAAGGAAGGGGTTAACAAATCAGACCCTCTTTTAAGAGCTTCCAAAGGAAGTGCTTACATTTCACTCCCTAAAGAGGGTGGCATGACTGCTTATTTCCTCAAGGGAGCAAAAATATATAGCCACCATGTGCTTAGAACAAGGATGAGGATTTTGGTGATGTGGTGGT